TACATTGTAGCGTAGAAGGAGTCAACAATTATATAGATGATGTGACTGGGTCCTATAACTGTATTGCCTGAGAGGATATGGGACTGAGTTGTTATCAGTGTTCCCTCTAAGCTGAGTTAGTGTGAGCTAGCTCACAGTTTTTTAGCTTCTGACTCACAGTTGTTAGTCTTAGCTCAGGAAGGATGGCTCTGGAGCAAACTAATTTATGCACTAGCCAAATCGCTTGCTCACAACTTTAATGCCAGTAGGTCACAAAGTAGAATTTTTGCTCACAAGACTCCAGAGCTTAGGGGGAGCACTGGTTGTTATACTCATAATTAAAGAGGAACCATTCATTGGCATTTTCACTTAAAGAGGTCTTGTCTCACTGAAGTGTCTGATGGTAACTTTACAAGTGTTATTTCAGTCTTGAGGCTTTGTGCCTTACACAAGCTAGCTCCTACAAAATGTGTGTGTGATTCTGGGAAGCTTTATATTTACATATACAAACTCGGTCATTTGAATGTACAATTACTTTAAATATACCCAGACCTGCATTTGTACTCTGGACAAAGCCTTCCCAGCTTCACCCGTGGTGTGTAAATTGAGGATTAAACATATTGCTCAAAACTGGGCAATTCCTCTTTTGTTTTCAAAAACTGGTATTTTTACACATGATTTGGATATTATAATGTGGAAATACTGCATATATGTTCAGAATTAGGAGGCCACAACAGCCAGCAGGTTTCCAATGCTTTTAATCTCTCTAAAAAGTCACATTTGATGCCCACACATTACAGTGTATTCTTTGTTGAGAGTATATAGAGAACCAGTGTGGTGCAGTGGTTAGAGTGGCAGACTAGGATCTGGGAGACCATGGTCTGAATCTCTGCTTTGACGAAGAATCATGTTGGGTGATGTGGATCAGTCATACACTGTCACCCAGACCTACTTCACAGAGTTGTTGTTAGGATAACATAGAGGAGAGCAAAGTAAACCATTTTCAAGAATGGAGTAGCTCTGCAAAGAAATGCGCTGAAAGTGTCATAGAAGGTGACTCTAAACCACAGAGCAAGTATGCACACACAAGGAAAACACACCAGTATGTTGTAGCAAGTTGTGCTAAGTGTGTGAATCACAAGCACATATCAGTTACATACAGGGTTACAACCCCAAAGTGGGGCCTGCAGTTCCCCCATAGTTACAACTGATTTCTACCCTACAGAGCTCAGCTCCACAGGAGGAAATAACAACTTCAGAAAGGCTCAAACTTTGCTGAGCCCCATCCCCAAACTCTGTCCTCCCAGCAGGCCCGTAGCTAAGGTGGGGCCCATGGAACCCGGCCCCCTAGCAGTTTTTATGGGCCCCCTTCCTGAGCCTCGGCTCCCCTACCCCAACTCCCCGATTGGCTGTCAGCAGGGAGGACAAGGGCAGTGATTTCAGAGGCTGCCCCTGGTGCTGTGTTTTTCGGTGTCGTGGGGAGGGGCACGGGGGGGGGGGAGCTGGACCCGGAGCCTGTGGCCGCTGCAGCCCTTGCCCTGGAGTCTTTAATTAGATTAGCAGGCGGCCCTCCTCCCAGGCCCCCTCCTTAAAAATTCCTTAGCTATGGGGCTGCCTCCCAGGCACCACCCTCCGATCTCCAGGAATTTTCCAAGCCGCACTTGGCAAAGCCAGTTTTAAGTTTTCTTTTTTTTAAGTGTAAAGAAACCCTGCTTACCCGTATGTGACCTACCGACTCATTTATGGCACATGACAGTTTAAAGCCTGGGACCCTAAAGAACATTTACTAAGGGGGAAAATCCCGGCTTTATGAGCGAGAATAGGATCTCCCTTATCTACCGAGGCGAAACCCGTCGGACGTCCCAGGCAGAGGCGAGCTGTTCCAGTTGATCGACAGCGCGGAAGGTCACGTGACACCACACGCCACGTTCCCTGCGCTCGAGTGCAGCAACTTCGGTTCGAGAAGGGCGGGAGAGCCATCGGGGGGGAAGCAAAGGGTTGCGCGCGCGTGCGCTCTGGGTTCCGGGAAGAAAGTTTCAAACGCAGCAGAAAGTAGTTGAGAGAGTCGCTAAATCGGGCACGGTCGCACGTCTTTGGTTGCACGCGAGGGGCAGGAAGGCAAGCAGGTAAGAGGCAGCCTCCCTCCAAGCCTCAGGAAGGCTGACTTTATCCTTCCAGCCCTGTCCTCGTCCAGTAACAAAGGAGGCATCCCGGGGGCCCGAGGAGGAGTTCCAGAAGCAGGCACCGCCACAGCAGCCAAAGTTGAGCCCGCCTGAGTGCAGGAGGGGCCAGTGGGAGAGGCGTTTCCTTTCCCCCCCGGCTCGAGGAGTGCGAAGGAAGGAGGCGGTCGAGGAATTTACCTTGGACGAAAACGAATCCGACACATTCGCGTTAAGCTCTCCCGTCCCCCTTTTCGGGCTGACTTTTCCTGTTTGCAAGTTGCGTGAGCTCATTTGGAGGATCGCTCTCAGCTCTTGCCCCGGTTTGGCGTCGGACTTTTGAGGCAAACCCCACCTGAAAAGGGTGCACGGCATGGACCCTGGGATTTGACTGCCTGGAGGGCGCGGAGGGTTCCGGCTGGTAAGCTGTTGAATAATTGACGGAAGGGAAAGAGTAACGCGAGTCCTCGGCTTGGATCACTCGCAGGACAAAAGGACAGCCCAATTGTTTCCCTCCCACCTATCTGAACAGGTATAGAGAAACGTGAAAGGTTGCCTGGTTGTAACTAGATACGGTTTCTTTCATAGAAAAGAGCAGTCGCCAGGGAAGGATGTTTAGAAAGGAGTTTGACCCACGTGGAAAGTGCAGTTTGTCGGGATTCACAGGTTTCTCGCAACCCCCACCCCTGCATGAACCGTGTCAGCTTCCACAGCATTCCTGAAGTGCTCCAGTTTATCTCATAACATGAGGGAACAGCAGGCTAACTGATTTAGCGAGCTGCTGAAATTTTCCATGTAATTTGCAACGTGGATCCGGGGCACTCAAAATTTAACTGTGTTGCCAGGATGCAAACAGCATTTTAAATAGGTCTGTATCCCCCTCCTCAAGTTGTTTTGGCCCTGGGCACCCCCACTGCAGCAAAACAACAAGAAAAACCTGTCTCACTTCTGCACCATTTAAAAGCCCCACGAAATGGTTCCTGGTGCCTCATTTATGCTCCAAAATTATCTAAAGTTATCTGTTGCGGTGTTGTCAGGTGGGCAGGTATTACAGCTTTCGTGCCTCTCTTGGAAAGGTGCAGAAGAACTAAATGAAAGAGTTTGTTGGATTAGCTTGTGGCCTCTTGATAATGAATGAAATGGTGGTGGTCCCATGTCCTGTACGCAGGCAGTGGAGTGACCCCGTAAAGTGAGTGGGAGAGCCACCTGCTGCTTCCTTCTTTGGAGTGGTGGTGATTAATTGCTGTGTGTTATACTGATTCTCTTTCCCAGCAGTACCTAAGTAGTAGCTTGAGGGAGCATTGGTGGTTATTCAAGGCAGAAAAGCAGTGGCATAAGTTTTCAGTTTAGAAGCCTTTTATGGATGTATTTTTAATTAAAAGGCCTTGCTTGCTTCTCCTGGGAAGCACGATGACTCCTGAACAGGTGCTGAGTGCTGCCCAAGCAAAGCTAAGAAGGAAGGGTTCAGGTGGGCTGGCTACTTTTGTGTAATCTGCCAGTATCTGGATCCATGTGCAAACCTGGCCATGGTAACTGATTCTGAGAGAGGGACTCCAGAATACTTTCTAGGAGAAAGTCATGGCAACGCCTTTGAAAGGCGACGTGGGATATGAATAGAGGTTTCTTGCAGTGATAGTGTGGTTGCTGACTATAGACAGCTGGGAAAGCTGAAAGGCGGGTTGAGGTGGGTGGGATCCCTACTGATTATACGTGTGAAACTTGGTTTTGACAGTTGTGCCTGGCAACTGAAAAAGCCACATGTGGAAAGCAAAAGGCTGAGCCAATATTCTCATCTCACAAATATCTTGCTCCTTCCCTCTCTGATGCTTTTGGGAAGGAGCATGTGGGGCATACTCTCAGGTTCAGATCTGCACTTGCTGGGTGGCCTTGAGCAGGTCTCTTTCCCAGCCTTTTTGAAATTGACGTGGTGGTTATCATAAAATAAAAGGTTATATTGTAACCTACCCTGAGCCCTTAGGTTAGGGTGGGGAAAGAAATATTAATAATGCATAAAGTAGCTAGTGGATTAGTGTCATAGTCCTCTCCTTTCTACAGAAGTTTTCTCTGAATTCAGAATATCCATGAACAATGGGGGAGGGGGGAAGACAGGGCTACAGTTTAAGAGACTCTGTTGAAATTCCGATTAAATGCTGTGTGGCCAAACTATGCAAGGGACAAGTAACTACCCACGCTGTAACTTTAGGAGAGCTAGCCAAACTGATCCAGGCAGATTTAGGAACAGCTGGAAAACTGCTTCCTTTGTAACTTGTATATAAATAAGGAAGCCAATCCAGCCACTCCCAGGCTGTGCTTTTTTATTTGAGCCAGGGTTGCTATGAAGTACATGCGATGAGGTTAGTGCTTTTAAATAAAGCCTAAATATCTTTGTGTTTATATATGGGATAAACTTAGAAATAACTCTAGTAGTAGATATATGCATCACTGATATTCTGATTGTGGTGGATTGGGCATTCCTTAAACTTCGCAGCACTTTTAAAAACTAATTTGGATAGGAATATTTTATTATTATTTTTTAATTGCCAATACACCACATTGTATCACAGATTTAAATGCATGGTCCTGAAAAGGTAGTCTTGTTGACCCGAAGCAGTTTCTTGGATCTCTCTTATCATAGAAGTCTGTACGTGGAACAGAAAACAAATTGAGCTTTGGGATTTTGGAAAATCCCAACAGAATGGTGACTGGGATTTGAATGTTCTACAGTTTAAAAAGTGGAAGGCATAGGCAGGAAGTATGGAAGTATTTGTAGCTCCGATATGTACAATCTTGTATTTGGCGCTGCATGCTATTTAAATGTTTTTATGTTTTGTTTCAGGTATCTATTACAAAGCAATCTGGTGAGAGCTGAGTGAAGAGATAATTCTGCAGAGCAATTTCAAACTACAACAAAAAAAGATGGCCAGGGTTTTGGATATAGGTGAAGGACCTGAAGGAGGACACAATGAGTTCAGCAACATCATTAAATCCAGATCTGGTAAGTCATAAAAGTAGTCAGTGTTCTTTTCTGGGGAGTTCACTGTAACAAAAACAACAAAAATGTCATTTACTTGTTAGGAGTCTAAAAGTAAGATTACATCTCTTACAAATGTGCTTCAGGAGTGGGATAACTAGCTCCAAGTATCTCACTAGCATCTTTCCCTGCTGCTGGGATTCAAACACTGTCCCAGTTATCTCCCCTCCCCCCCATTTTAAAGAAATCTGTCAGACTATCACTGAAAACGCTTCTGTGTATGTTTTAGTTTTCTTCTGTGGTTAGATTCCTTACCATCAGTGTGCAGCAGCATCCAGTCTATTGGGTTTCTAGTTCTACCTAAGAAGTCTGTTAAATCAGACATAATGGAATAACAGAAATTATAGGCATCTGCTTTTCTGCAATACCCAGCCTATGTGACTCTTTAAGACCTCTATTTATATTCTTTACAGAAGTTGATGTAATACGTTCAGTGTGCTTTTATGCAGGCTTGTTTAGGCATTGTCTCCTTCTTGATTGCCAGTTACTGGATGTAATTGGTAAAATGCTTCCAAATCTGAAGCTGAGACATGTCTGTATAGTGGTCTCCATGGCTCCCAATATCAAGCCTTAGAATTAATCTGGAATTTCAGGGCTGGGAGGAAAATATTTTTGCACAGTCCGCAGCAATTTCTTGTCTAAATAATACAGAAATGAAGCTTGGGATTCCTTGTATCTGCCATGTAGATAGGATAAGGATTTTACGTATTGAGTAGCCATATTTGAGTTCTGTATTCCCTCTCTATTGCCATATGCACATCCTTTAAATATGATACAGTTGGTCTGTTATCACAATCTGTGATAGAGTTTACTGTAATAAATTTATTTATGCAGAACCAGCAGCTTGTGATAGTATCACTTTTGACTTTCATATTTAATCTTCGTAAGCCTGTTGAATTCATTGAAGCACCAGAGCATACAAAAATCAAATTATCAGAGATTACTGTTCTTATCTCACTATTAGGCAGGTGGGAGAGGTACAGATAGACATTAAATGCAGTAGTTGTTGAGTTTATTATTACAGATGAGCAAGTGGGGACCTGTAAGAAAGTTGCAAGGGTGGGTGGAACGAGTCTGTTTCCTTCTTCCTGACAGAGAAGTTGGGGTTCAATTGGGACCCCTTCAACTGAACGCAAATTTCTCCATCATTTCTACTGTTCACTCATCCTCTGTCTCTGGTGGGGGCTGGAGTAGCAAGTGAGGAATGGCGAAAGCAGCAACAGTACCACCTCCTGCTCCTCCTAGTTGCAGCTACATGTGTGCGCTCTATCCTGTTGGAGTGGCTGAAAAAGGAAGTAGAAAAGAGCAAGAGGCCAGTAGCACCTTAGAGTCTAACAAAATTTGTGGCAGGGGAAGAGCTTTAGTCAGTCATTGCTTACTTCTTCAGATACCTGTAGGTGAGCCAGTCTGGTGGATTCTAATCTGAAGAACCAGGTTTGATTCCCTACTACTCCACATGCAGTCAGCTGGATGACCTTGGGTCAGTCACAGTTCTCTCAGAGCTGTTCTCTCAAGAGCAGTGCTCTCAGAGCTCTCTCAGTACCACCTACCTCACATGGTGTCTGTTGTGGGGAGAGGAAGGGAAGCAGCTCTGAGACTCCAAGTGAAAGGTGGGTTATATATCCAGTCTCTTTGTCTTCGCTGTCATCTTCACAAAAGGTCATACCCTGCCACAAATTCTGTTAGTCTTTCAGCTTTCTCCTTCCATTGCCACCACCAGTTGCCTGTCTGACTTCTTCCTTGTCGTCATCTCATTACCCCAAGTGGCTACTTTCATTCCCACTCCCAGTGGCTGAAATCCTTTACATTGTCTGCACCTATGTCAACAGCACGTCTCCAGTTCTGAGGTTGTAAACTTCCCAGTTTTTTTTTTAAGGCTTGTGATTTTCCTGCAAACTTGATGCTTGCATCCGACTTGTCCCTATTGTGTGTGGGTTTTCAATCTGCACACGATGCCTACTTCAGAATTGGATATATGGTTGTATATCTAAGATGTTCAACAGTGCACAGCTCAAGGGATTGCTCAGTGATAGTTCATGGCCTCCTTGTGGTACATGTAGCTGTTTGGAGGAGGGCCTGCTGAGAGGTACTGATTTTTCTTTGAAATTGGTGCCTCTCCACTGAGCCAAGGTGTTGTCTTTTCCATAGCAATCCCAGAGTCTTTGTCGACTGTAGTGAGAGGTCCAGAGTCCCTAGGTGGTGTCCTGGGAGGGCTGATGATGGGTGTCACAACTGTGGGCTACCATGTGTATTCCTTGTGATCTGCACACAGTGCAACTTCCCCTCCCCAGTAATAAGGCATTTTAAAACGTGAAACCATTTTAAATGCACAAGTAGGTGCACTGGATTCCTGTAGTAGATGTGCCCTGTTAGCACTTACTGTTTGTATTTCATTTACATTGCCAACAAGATGCTTATTTACAGGCAAATAAATTTCACTGATTTCAAAAAGCCTTTAAGCAGTTACCAGTCACTGAAGAGAAGCTTGTATATAACTGTTACCTGTTACTTTTTATCCTCTAAGTAGACGTTTGGGTAGCATTTGTATCATGTTTACTTAATAAATTTACTCTCTTTTTTCTTACAATGTTTTTTTCTTACAAAGCTTGCAATGTTTTTTGAAACTATCAATTGCAGTCACTCTAAAACTAACAATTTAATAGCTGAGGGGACAGATGGTACTAATAAGAGTTCTCTGTAGTTGTAGTTCCTTTTGAAAAGGATTTTGTTGTGTTCAGACTTAATGTCATATTGCTTTCTTTTAATTCCCAATTTAAATAGTTCCCTAAGCTTTATCATTCTGTCTGGCAGTGGCAATTACTTAAGCTAATATAAGTAAGCAGCTTGAAAATTCTTCTTTCAAAAATCTGAATGATTACGTTTCACCTCTTGTACCTACTCTTATGTATTGTCATAAATCTTAGCTCTTTATTGCTTTCTTACCTGAGAAGTTAATGGAATCTGGGAGGGGATTTCCAAATGAAAAGGGCATAGTTCTTCAAAGTACCCCAAACAGCAAATTAAAAGGTAGTTCTCAGGTCTAACATCTGTATTTTCCATCTTGATTGCTCCAAAGGGTGGAATGTCAAAGGAAAGGAATGCATCACTACTTCATCAGTGAAATGTCCCTAAGTGAAATGGATATGTTCTGTGTTGGAGAACATCCAGTGAAAGGACAGTCATACCACCATTTGTGTGTCTAATTGATTTATCAGTTGTATAATTTGTAGAGATAACCCCCCCCCAAAAAAAACCCCTGTGAACCATGATATTGGTTGTTGTTGTTCAGTCGAACAGTTGAGTCCGACTCTTCGCGACCCCATAGACCAGATCACGCCAGGCCTTCCAGTCTTCCGCCGTCCTCTGAAGTTTGCTCAACTTCATGTTCGTTGCATCTATGACACTGTCTAACCATCTCATCCTTTGCCGTTCCCCATCTTCTTTGACCTTCAATCTTTCCCAGCATCAGGGTCTTCTCCAGTGAGTGCTCCCTTCTCATTTGGTGGCCAAAGTATTTGAGCTTCAGTTTCATTATCTGGCCTTCCAGGGAACAGTCAGGGTTGATTTCTTTTAGGATTGACTGATTTGATCTTCTTGCAGTCCAAAGGACTCTCAGGAGTCTTCTCCAGCACCATAGTTCAAAAGAATCTATTCTTTGGTGCTCAGCCTTCCTTATAGTCCAACTCTCGCAGCCATACATGACTACTGGGAATACCATTGCTTTGACCATGCGGACTTTTGTTGGCAGGGTGATGTCTCTACTTTTTATCATGCTGTTTAGGTTCGCCATCGCTTTCCTCCCAAGGAGCAGGCGTCTTTTAATTTCATGGCTGCAGTCACAGTCTGCGGTGATCTGGGATCCCAGGAACGTGAAGTCTGTCACTACTTCCACGACTTCCCCTTCTATTTGCCAAGGAGTGATGGGGCCGGATGCCATGATCTTAGTTTTTTTAATGTTGAGCTTCAAGCCCACTTTTGCACTCTCCTCTTTTACTCTCAGCAAGAGGCTCTTTAGGTCCTCTTCATTTTCTGCCATTAGAGTGGTATCGTCTGCATATCTGAGGTTGTTGATCTTTTCCCCAGCAATCTTAATTCCCGCTTGTGATTCATCCAGGCCAGCATTTCGCATGATGTACTCTGCAAATATATTAAATAAGCAAGGTGACAATATACATCCTTGTCGTACTCCTTTTCCTATGCTAAACCAATCAGTTGTTCCATATCTTGTTCTAACTGTCGCTTATTGACCCTTATACAGGTTTCTCAAGAGACATGTGAGGTGGTCTGGTACTCCCATCTCTTTAAGGACCTGCCATAGTTTGTTGGTCGTAACCTATAAGAGTAGTAGACAAAGTGTTATGTTTTTGCAGTTTAACCAGGTTTGGAGTCAGTGACCTGCTTTGATGCAATTCTCACTGATGTGATTTTCAAATGTGTGCTTGAAACTTCAGCCTTTGTGTTCAGTGAAGCTTTGCCCTTTGATCTACAAAGGCAGCCAATATAGTTGCGTAACTTCATTGCTAGTGGATAAGAAAATAGACACTGGTCACAGTTTTCTTTTGTAGATGAATTTGCTAAGCGTTTAAAAATATAAACTGCATTTATAAGGAGAAAATAAAGAGATTTGAAAAATGGAGCTGATTCTATGGGTAGATTTATATAGATGACTTAGAATTTTTTTTTATTTATTGTACCTTCGGGAAGAAAGGAACATAATGCCTCATAGGAGAAAATACTACTTGTCTTCTTTTCTTTATCTTAAATCAACTCACTAAAGATGTTGCTTTGCATATGGAGGATGTTTTCATAATTTAAAGAACTAAGGACAGTAATAGGAGCTGCGGTGGCTCAAGTGGTTAAGACGCTGAACTGCAGGCTGTGGAAGGTCGGTAGTTCAGCAGTTCGAGACCCGAGTGTGCCGCATGACGGAGTGAGCTCCCGTCTGTAGTTCCAGCTCCTGCCAA